GGATTTGAACCCAAATCCACCACATGATAGGGCAACACTCAAACCACTGAGCCACTGGAGCTTCCAGTTTTACAGCTCTTTATTTTGGGGTAATGTTTTGTTTTTTTATTTGGACAAAACCAGTGAAAATAAAGCATTTTAACGCAACAAGTGGGATATGAACCCAAATCCTCCACGTGATAGAGCAAAGCTCAAACCACTGAACCACAGGAGCTTCACCAGTTGATCCTATTTTTTTCCTCTTTTTTGTGTGTTTTTTGAGAAAACCACATAAAAGCATGTGTCCAATAACCCACTATTTTTCAAGTACTAACCCCGGTCTTCATGCAATAATCTGCAAGTTGACAGAATCCCCTGCAATCTATTGAATGGTGATTCAGACAGTTTATTTGATGGACATTTTATAATTAAAGTTCCTCTCATGATGAAAACCATTTATCTGCACGCAAAGGGGCCCCCTGAGTCTGTGGCACCAAGCACCATCCCATAATTCCACTTTCCACGAACACACTATGTGTCCAAAAACCCACTATTTTTGAAAAGTACTAACCCCAGCCTTCATGCAATAAGCTGCAAGTGGACAGAATCCCACCTTCAATCTATTGAGTGGCGATTCAGACAGTTTTTTTTGATGGACATTTTAATTAAAGTTCCTTTCATGATGAAAACCATGTATCTGCATTCAGCTGGGGCCCCTGAATCCGTGGCACCAACCGCCATGGCGCCATCCCATAATTCCACTGTCCACAAACCCACTATTTTTCCAATAACCCACTATATTTGAAAAGTACTAACCCCGGCCTTCATGCAATAAGCATTAAACTTATTGGAGAAACTTATTTTTTCGCACCAAAAAAAACACAAAACAAACAAACAAACAAAAAAAAACGACAGGGTCGTTGTCGTTTTTTTTTTGGTACAAAAAAAATAAGTTTCTCCAATCTTATTGAAACTCTGGATTCTGATAGAGGGCCATGGGACTTAGACCTGAGTGCAAAAATGGAGTCTGTAGACCCTTCCAGAGCTGAGATATTGAGATATTTTATATCCTTTGTAACTAAGCAAGTAGGTTAGATGCAGGTTAAATACAGCAAAGCACTCTGCATTCTGTTGAAGGGGCCACCGGGAGGCCAACTCCAATTTTGCATATGGAACAGTGCCGCGTGGTGATGAATGGTAAATTCAGCAGTAGCTACAGCATCTGTTCATTCTCTCGCGGACACTTGTAGAAAGATATGTTCACATACTTATTGGCAAATTACTGTATCAGATTATTTATTTAGATCTGTGATTTAGCCTCAACAATTCATTACAGAGTCATTTGTACCTTTAATCAGAATGAATGGAAAAAGGGCTATTTTCATCCTCTTGATTACGAATACTGCATTGTAATCTATAAACGGAAACCAGGCTGAGAATATAGTTAAATCTATGATTAATTGTGCAGTGTTGCTGATAGTCCTGGAACCCTCCAGGAGCGGGGTTGAGAACCACTCAAGGTTACTAAGTTAGGCTACTAATTAAATTGGGTCTAGATTGATTTACGCAGAATGACTGAGATTGGCCCAACTGAAATTGCTCAATTAGTTCAAATTTCAGCTGAAGTTAATATTTTTGAAAAGGTAGATTTTGCTGTTCCGTGCTTAGCTTATAAAATGACACACTGTGACGTCCTAATTAAACATAATTAATCAAAATGAGTTATCGCCGACCCTGCCAGGGGCGGTGCCCACAAGCCTTGCCTTCTTCACCAGGAACGTTGCTGTAGTCCAATTATGCTTAAATGTAATAATAGTCTCTGTTTTTAGGAGAAAGGAGAAAACCAAATCTGTTTTCTCTGGTTGCACTTTAGCTCCCATACTGAAGAAGAGTGCTTGAAGGTTGGAAAAGAAGTGCACTGCCTGTCATTAGGCTCAGCGGGTTGAGCGGCTGTGAAGCTGCTTGAGAGAGAGAGAGAGAGAGAGAGAGAGAGAGAGAGAGAGGGAGACTTGTCTAAATGATTAATGTTGCGAGGTTGGTAGGCGGAGGCGGAGGAAGGCATATATGTAAGGTTATGTATAAAGAATACAAAGTACAGTATTGCCTATTTCAAAAAGTATTCATAGAAGGACTTTTAAGCTAAATTAAGATTCACTCTGTTGTTCTCAATTCTTTCTACCAAACTAACAAAGACAAGAAAATCTGAACATCATTGTCATTTACATGCTATTTAGTCACCTTTATTAACTATACAGAGGTATTTAATTAGTTTGACGCTACCACTTTTCAGTTTCAAACACATGCTTTTAGTCCGATATGGCCAAGAGAACTATAATATATATACACATTTTACATTGCATCTCTGTCATGTTCACATTACATGAATAGGTAAAAACAAAACAAATAAAGGATTCTGGCATTGACATAGCATTGTGACTGATTCATTTGTCAGTCAAAACACCATAAATTCAGATTTAAATGACCAGTACTTTCAGTATAAAAAAGAAAAAAAAACTGTAAAGTCAAACTCATGGCCATTATCAACAACATTCTAAGTTAAAAGATTCAGCACATGCCTTGGGAAAAATAGCATATCATTTTGGGAGTAATAAAAATATGTTGCGCACTTGCAAAAGTTGAGCGGATGTTAATGACCATTCAAAGTCTTGAATGCCCTTTTTAAAATAGTATTTTCTGTGCCCAAGAGATAAACTTGTACAAGTGGGCTTACATCCGTGTGCAATAAATCTTGGTGCTTTGCAGAGATATTAAAACAGCAGTTTATGCACAATGGAGACTAACTCTGATACACCATGTACAAACTGATAACATGTAATCTGGTTCAAAGCGAACTTGGTTATTGAACTTTTCCAAGTTAACTTTTCATATAAATCATCATCTAGGGGCAATAAATCTTCAATTATCTTATATATAAATCATGCCAGAGAGTGGTACAATGGGGAAAATAGCTAATCAGCAACAGAACAGCATATTTTGTGTAGAATTTGTATTTCACTTATTAAAGTGGTTGGCAGAAGTCACTGTCATTATGTGAGTCATTCTTTAGTGCTGGATTCTGAAAGTTGTTGGATTTCCTGTAGTTTCACTAGTGGCTCTGAGCACAGTTCATCATTGATGGTCTCTCATTGTGGTCCTACTGCAACTAATCGCAGAGGGCTGGTTACCTGTCTCCAGGCAGGGGTAAGAGGACTTTTCCTTATGGTCTTTCTTATACTTCATGCGACGGTTTTGGAACCAGATTTTAACCTGGCGGTCAGTGAGCTTCAGCAGCGCTGCCATCTCAAGTCTCCGTGAGCGGCACAGGTACGCGCTGAAGTGAAACTCCTTCTCCAGCTCCAGCAGCTGAGCCGAGGTGAATGCTGCACGTGGCCGTTTACTGTTAGAACCGCTGCTCTCCCGTTCACCACTGCTGTGCCTGGAATCACCTGGAAAACATGCAGAAGTGTTAAGGTACACAAGCTTTCACAGACAACTGAAGCCTTGTCCCAGACTAAAGTGCATGTTTGAGCTGTGTTAACTGAAAGGAAATAAAATACGTCAGTGCCATTGTTTTGTCTCAAGATGCACACAAGTAATGTAAATGTAAAGGCAATTTTATAAAAGCTATGTCCTAATTGAACTAAGGCCTAATCCTGGTTTAATCTAAGACCTGTATGTGAAACTGGGCCAATATTTGTCAAAAATAGACTGGTTCTCAAGTTTAGTCAATGAAAAGAACACTCATCCCAAATAATGAAAAGGGGATAGTTCACCCAAAAATGAAAATTCTGTCATTATTTCCTCACCCTCATGTTGTTCCAAACTTGTATGAATGTCTTTGTTCTGTTGAACACAGAGGAAGATATTTTGAAGAATTTTCGGGGGAAAAAAAATACAAAGGTGCCCCAGAACTGAAAATGATGAGAGGATTTTAATTTTTGGGTGAACTATCTCTTTAACCGTGTTGAATAGGATAATCTCTCTGAAGCATGAACTGGGATGATGAAAATGTAGCATGACGTCCTTGAATACGCTCAGCTGCAAGTTTAAACCCTCAACGATAAATTGGTGTACTTACTGTCTTTGGGCAGAATCGCCAAGTCAATTATCCATTCCGTGTGTTCTACTGTTAGATTCCCTAATGATTTTTCTTATCAAAAAAGTAGTGACCTCAATGCCATCTTTTCATTACTAAACATACGCTGACATCATTATTCTATATCTTTTGTAGAACTTATTCACTATAGTGTGAATGTAAGAGTTTGGCTTAGACTAAAAGAAGTGAATCAGTTTTATCTGTGTGACCTAGAAAAGCATAGCCTCAGACAATAAGAAAAAATCCACTGTAGGCTCTTTTTCTTATTATTATTCTGCTCCTTAGTAAATGTTTAAACTTAATCAAGTTCACAGAACAACTGGCGGTCTCTAGAAAATATTGCTTTCCTTGGAAATTCTCTTTTTTTATGCGTCTCATTTTCACAGAGAAACATCAAAATAATGTTAGACACAATATCAAATCCATATGCTTAAAATATATAACTGTTTTTATCAATGAGCAATAAGCATTATATTTGCCACACTGAGTTTTTCCATAAACGTGTCCACATTCATCTTAGACTCTTTGATTTGTATGATTTTGATAAACATATTTAAATAAATTAACTTAAATTATCAGAATAAAACTTCAGTTTTAGACACATTCTCATCTTTATTAGTCAAGATTGAAATGTTGCTTGTAATTATGGGCTCATTTCTATTAAAGGAGGAAGGATAACACTAATAATTGATTAAGTATTTCTTCATTCATTGACATCAGTGTCTAAGTGACGAATTACATTTACATAGAACCAAATCTGACACAGATGTTATTCATTATTGACTAAAATATGACAGACTGAATAGATTACGTGTTTCCAAGCAATACAAATCAATATACCTCATTTACTCCAAAAACGAGTTCTCTCACCTGATTCAATGACTTTAATGGAGCTGAAGTTTATAGGTGTGTGACGCTCTCTCATCCAGGGGTTCTTCTTGCTTGGAAAGCAGGAAGTTGGCAGCTTGCATCTCTTGTCTCTTGTAGCACTCGCATGGTCCAAGGAGTTGATCTTTTCATTCGTAGGGTAATTGGCATCCGCAGAGGATGAAAAGGGATGTTGGATTTGAGAGAGTTCTTCAAAATTCCAAATATGGCCTTCATAATGTTTTGATGAATTTTCTTCAGCATGTTGACTCCACGCAGAACTGCTCTCCTGAAGAGCACAAGGGGAGAAATGTTGCTCCATAGAAAAAACATGAGATTTTTTGCATTGCACGTGTGCATTGTTAATGTGGAACAAATTATTATGCATCTCTAACCGTCCTGATCACTCGGGTTGAGTAATTGATGACACAAGGTAGGAAAGACATAAAAGTACACTACCTCGCATTTTAACTGTTTTCCAACAAGGGTAAACAATGCAGTCACGTGATGGCCTCCTCCAATAGCCTCGCACGCTCGCTGTTTGAGTTGTAAAGTGCTCGTAAGCAACCAAACGACGACTCCGGGTTCCTCCGCATTCTTCAACTATTTTACAATTTCGAATGATTATCCTGTGGACAGAAGAAAAGCCATGAGCAGAGCTTATACATTACCCTGTTCCCGTGCTGACAAGAGTTCAGAGAGCGTGATTGAGAGGTGGGAGGGAGTCGGAGACCCATTTAGACAGAGAAAAGACACGCAAGTCTGGGATCACGTCTCTTTAGTTTTGCCACAATGGATTGCAGAATACAGACTTCATTTCCGTGATAATGTAGCCTATTATAATACTGTGTTTGAAACCTTGACTTACTTTTCATTCCTCTTATGGTAGGTATTTAAAAAATAATCGACTTGTTTCCGTTAAGTAATTATTCATGTAACGGTGTGCATTTGTAACAGCTCCACGTAGCCTTCCTTAACATTTTTTTAATATTTGTTTTTTTTTAAATCATTGTAATCTGTCGCAAACAGCCATGCAGATAAATGCTTCAGCAATGCTTCTTTGAGAATAAAATATTTCTGTAATATACATTGTTTGTCTTTCTCCGCATGTTTTTTAAAAAGGATAACAACACGTTCTGATGTGTGATGAAATTGCAACACAGGTTAAACTGATCTTTTGAATAGGCTACTATTAGTGTTTTTATTATACAATTTATTTCGACGTGGTTTGAGATTTGTGCTTATTTTACCTGGTAAAAAAGACATCAAATCAATGGGTGTGGTCAAACAAAGGGATTTTGACTGTCATTGCTGTACTGAAAATGCATGTCATAAAATCTTTTGAATGATAGAGTTTTTTTTATTTTTTATTTAACTGGCAATGTAAGAAAAGAGTCGCTAAGAAGGTTATTTGCTAGTTCGGGTAACCAAACCCATTTTTAAGTTGATGTAAGAATCGCATTGAGTAGCCTACTATTTAAAACAATGTCTCGATTAACAAAGAGCAGGAACAGCCCAGTTTTGGCGTATAATGACGACAATTTACGGCAATGGGAAAGTCTTTAAAAACAACAAGTTACCCAGCGCCAACAAGTTTCAAAAGTCATTTGAAATAATTACAAATTGATCACAAAACTATTGCATTCGCAACAGAATTAGTCTTTGTCCTCTCTGACGTCATATAGCCTATAAGCTGACGGAAGAGGGTTCCATCAGAACGTTGACTATTTTGCGCTCAGCCTGCCCAGATCCCAGTATTTCAGACACCTAAAAGTTATCGACACGGTAAGGATCCTTGTTGTGATAATTAAGACGATAACATTAGCAGTCGCGTTGAAGTAAGTAGGCTATAGGCCTACCCAGTCTGAAATGAACATAGACATCAGCCTTCCTTTACATAAGCTGCATGTGGACAGCGGTTGTCACGCACTAGTGATTAATTGTGCACAAGGACTGAAACCCAAGGACTAGTCCCTTTTCATTTACTCTCAACAGTGTCTTGTTTGAGTATTTACTCAGACACTCAGTACTGTCAATAACATGTCTGGCGTATTTTCGAAGACAAAGACTGATAGCCTCAACGACTCACTCTCTTTCTCCTGGAGGGATTATTTATTTATTTTTTTGCTCAGGGAATGTTTAATATAATGCACTGTTCATTGAGTTTCCAAGACGCCAAGAAGGGCCTGCCAGTATGGCCAGGTTTGTGTTTGAATAATGGTCATCTCAATCTTAGCACATGTACAAGATTACTTTGGACTGCATTAAAACAATGACGTGTAAATGGCAGCATGACAGCAATTTAAAAGCCTTGTCTCTCGTTTCGAATAGTTTAACTAGTCAAATCATAACCATTCATATAGGTCTACTGTTTATTAAAGAAGATGATCAAAGAGCCATGGGGCTACCCTCTCCGGTTGTGACGCTAAAATCAATCTTTTTTTTTTTTTTTTTTTGAAAACGATTTGTTATTTTGAGTTCAGTGAATTGCTGTCACAAGCCATGTCAAATAGAAGCATTCTGCATATTACAAGTCCGGCTTCCGCCGAGCTGCAGCGCTATTAACATGAAATATTACTGCGCCCGAGTGTGCAGGGAATGCAAGTGTACTCATTCCATATGAATTAGATATTCAATAAATGCTATTTAAACTATTTCGATGCATTTTCAATTTTATTAAATTCTTTTTTTGGAAGTGATATTTGGAACCCTATAACCGTTGGTGGAAGTGGTTATAGGTTTTTTTTTTTTTATTAGAATTATTATTCTGCAGGTTTTTATGGTTCCCCTTGTGCCTTTCATAGATTTCAAACTCGTCCCTTATTGTTTGAAAGTCGCTTGTGATCTTGGGAATTTTCTAATTAAAGTAAGTTTGTTCCCTTGTCTCATGCCGCTGGGTCCATTCACTAAATCTGAAAAGGAATCTTTGATGTAGTGGCTCAGCAAGACCATAACTCAGCGCCTCCGCCGTACACTACAATTCTCAGTGAACTCTGTTTGAACCACGTTGCTGGCAATAAATCATTTTTCTTTCTCTCACAAAAGCGCGCCGGTCGCTCTGGGTGTCAACCCTTTTATAATTCCTCCCTACCTTCTGCGCTCTTGTGGTTGCTGACACAAACAGATGCATAAAACATCGATAATAACATCGCTTTAACCATTTCATGCAAAGATAGGCTCTCTAAAGAGGATAAAACGGGAATGAGGCAACGAGCTCTGTTGCTACCATAACTCCAATTGGTGAGGACATTACCCAAAATTTTGGAGACTTTTTTGTTTGTTTTTGTATTGCGGATTAAAGAGTTTTAACGAATGGGAATAAAAGAATAACTTTCTTTCTTTCTTTCTTTCTTTCTTTCTTTCTTTCTTTCTTTCTTTCTTTCTTTCTTTCTTTCTTTTCTTTCTATGTCTATTGAAAGTACTTTTGGGATTTCATAAATGAATTTTTATTGAAGAAATTAATCCACTGCGCTGTGAAACAATAAAAATACTAAGTAATATCCTAGTGAGTTTTTTAAGGTGTGGGACAAATAATATAGTAATTCCAGGAAAGCATTTTGATGAACAAAGGATGTTGTCGGTTATGCATACTAATGGGCCTGCCTCTGATAGTTTTATATCTTCACAATCTGAGCCTAAATTAAAAGTGTGAAATTTAGAAAGATCTCCCAAGTCCTCCTGGAACTTATGACCTCGACTTGATAGAGTCGATTGCTCTATTAATTCTGTTATTCATAACTGCATTGCTCTTTAAAGTCCCCGTGCCATGTCAGGTGAATTCAGACCACTATGGGAAAAAATAAAGGAAAACTGAAAGATGAATACAATGAGGTAGCCTATACAATTTCTTTAAAGCTGCCTTGTTGACTGACTTGAACTTCCTCAATCACATTTTACTTCAGCATTTAACATAAAAAAATAAATCCTAAATAAATGTTACTATAATATGTCAATAACTTTTTATTTGCATGTTGAAATGCTAGTTTCATTTTTCTTTCTAACGCTTTATCTAAAGGCCTTATGAATGATTGTCATAAAAAGTCATTGGACTTCAATCTTTGTTCCTTCAAAAATAAAGTTTTCAAGTTGCTTTTGCAAGGGTTTAATAACCATCGTGTCTTTATTCTTAGGTAGGCTACTAGTATTTATATTCTATGCCAGTACATGCCTGTTTAAAGCACTCACCATGTTGTTACAGAAAACGTTAATCTACGAATAGCATTTCTCTATACTATAGAAAAGATGACATTAATCATTGTGGCGCAGCAGCACGTCTCGTGACCTCCTCGTGACCGCATATGTTTAGACACACTGCAGACACCCCGGAGGACTGGACAAAAGCCTCAATACACAATTCTACATCTATACCGTGACACTGGGAACAAGTTGTAGAATCTTTCTTTTAGGATATTAAGATATGTCAACCAATGTGAAATGAAAGTGAAAATAACGCACTTAATTTATAACTGCATTTATAACTATTTAACATTTTATTGTTTGTAGCCTACTTTTTTGAGAGTGTCTTGATATGAGCACATTTCTCTGCATGTATACGTGAGATTATGGATTTTGCAGAAGATTCAAGGGAACCTGAAATTACGTCTGTGTGTTCACTAGACGAGCACAGTCTCTCACATAGGCTGTGTCCTTTGGCTCTTATAGCTTACATGAATTACCAACGCTATCTCACTCCATATCTCCTTAGTGAGATGTGTGGAAGCCTGGCAGACAGATACAGAGAAACAGAGATGTTCACAGGTGACCGTTCATTCATATTACGACCGTGCTCAGTCTCGCATTCTTAACAAACTGCCCCCTGTGCCATTAGACGCTGAACTCTTTTTTGTAACGAGAGTTTATTGACAAAGGCTGGGTAAAATACTACAGGTTAATTCGATAAAACAGGATACGCATTGTGGCTTCAATCGGTAAATCGTGAAATAAAGAACTTTTAGTGATAATGGATGTTCTCTTATTCTGTGAGCGACTCTAGTGTAGCTTGTTGCCTGGCAACTTGAACAAATCACAAGATCAAGATCACTCTTCTCTTTCATCAGACATTTATCTATCTTACCCGAGTAAACCAGTATGAAATTAGATTTAGACATATATATGCCTAAATGTAATTTCATACTGGATAACTTCAAGTTGCCATATATATATATATATATATATATATATATATATATATATATATATATATATATATATATATATATGTATATAACATGCTTTTAAGACAATCTCAAATTACGGTGTGTAGGCCCTATGTGTCCTGGTAAACCCTACATCATAGGGACCAAATGTCCCCACAAAGATAACAATATCCGAAATCCTTCTCCTTGAAGACATTTTTTGGTCCCCATGAGGAAAACAGCTTATAAATAAGTACGGCGATATGTTTTAAAAATGTAAAAATGCAGAAAGTTTTCTGTGATGTTAGGGGTAGGGTTAGTGTAAGAAAATATACAGTTTGTAGCCTATAAAACAACTTTCACCAGTAGCCTAGCCTACGTCCAATAATTTATCTCCCCATCCCGAAAATTGTGCGAAAATAACTCAATAAATAATTTAATATCGACGTTAAAAACTCGACACTATGTTGGTTATACCACTTGTAGAGTTGTAG